AAGGGACTTTACAATTCAAAAGAATACAACAACAAAGAACCTAACACATTTGTACTGAGTTTATCACATCAAACAAGAGCAGCAAGTATCTCAAAACCGGGTGGTGGCGGAATTCTGCGAACAATGGCAGAGCTTGCGTGACAATCTGCACTTGGTTTGGAGCCATCTGCATAGCCTGAAGATGAGCAAACCACCTTCCCCTTTGTACGACGAGCTGCTTTCAATGGTTTTGGCCGTACAACGAATGGATGAAGCAAGAGCTTTTCAGCGGTTAGCCTTTCGCAAGACCTCATGGCAAGGCAACTCTTAAGAAAATCCCTGGCCACACCTGAGACTTCAGCAGGGATTTTGGGAGTACATATGTGATCAAACATATAGTGGAAATCTTCAAGTTCACAACCAGGCTTTAAATCTGAGAAGGACTTGCCAGTTAGCATCTCAAGTACGATACAACCAAGAGACCATATATCAGAGGGCGGCTCCTGCTCACTATCATTCAAGGCTTCTGGGGACAGATGCGTAGGAGTGTCTCTCCATTGACCGTAATTCTCCTTGGTTTTCTTAGCCAATCCAAAATCTGAAATCTTGGCCACAAAACTACCGGTACTAGTTGCAGGATTTGGTACAAGCAGAATGTTTTCCGGCTTCAAATCACAGTGAACATAATCAAACTTGTGAATATGCTTAATCCCTTCAAGAATCTGATTCATCCATTCTTGTGTGTGTCACAAAGTCCATCAACAACAAGATCATTAGGGGAGGGTGAGTTGAGTTTTGTGCTCATTTCACAACAAGCTTCAGGCAATCCATGACCGTTGGATTTCTCAATCAGATCACCAAGAGTTCCTCCAGAGGCAAATTCCAGCAACAAGTTAAGACCATGTCATTGCCACCCTCTTCGCTCTGGTTGTGATTTCTTCACCAAAGCGCTCAATGACAAAAGGGCAAGCCTTAATATCCAACAGAACCTCTGCCTCATGCCGGATTGACTCCGAATCAGAGACCTCTGCCGATTTCACCGCCATCAATCCTGGAAAGTTTAGCATGCTACCAAACTCACCCCTTCTTGGGTTTTTGGGAGTGGCAAGAAAAACAGAACCAGAGCTTCCTTCTCCAACCATATCCCCTGTCAGCCATGACTCCAAATCCTCTGTTTTTTCTCTTCTTCAAATTCTTCTTGTTCGGACTTTCTTTTCATGGTTTCTTTTCCTTCGCAGAAACTTAGGAAATTTTATTTTGTTTGGTGAATTGTAAGGGTATTCGTTTGGAGAATCAGCAGTGTTTATATAGGATAGGGCACATGAATGTGTCGGTTTAGGGTTTGAGGAGAAGTAGGAAGTCCTAGTGTGTTCTGGATTTTCTTTCCAACGGTCAAGTTTTATTTGATTGGTTTGAATTGAGACGTGAACGCCAAGCTAACTCAAACCCACTACGAAGTTAGCTCTTTTGACAGCTGCGAAATTACTAATTTACAGCCAGGTAAGAAAGAGAACGGAAAAATTGGAAACTTTTTAACCAAGGAAAGAATAAAGCCGGTGGATACTTATCTACTAATACAAGTACGGAAAACTAGACAAGAAATGTTTCTAACTAATTTTAAAAAAAAATTCAAAAAAAAATCATTAATGTTACAAACCGGACAATTACTTTTTGGGGCTTTATCATATAAGGACAAATTAGAAGGACACCAAGACAAAATTGTCCAGTCCCTCAAACAACTATCGGGTGACTGTCTAACAGTGACATAAGAGTTCTCTCATGTAATTGTTGGACATTAATTGGACCGATTTGTCCAATTTTGGAGGAGCTGGACTATTTTAACATTGTGTCTTATGTGAAAACTTTATTTTATTTTATCATTTTCTGTTACTTTTTAGTTTCTGGAAATTTAATTGATTAATAAGAAAACCTGTTATTTTTCTGTAAATTACGGCTAGTTCCATTTAAAGCATGTTGCCTAGATTTTCT